GACTTTGAGCGTGAAAAGGCATACAAGGAGGCACAGAAGCAACAAAAAGAAGAACAAGGCAAATTCGACATGGCTAGAGCTCTCTTCAAATGAGGTCGGAGGCGTTTTTTTAATTTCCAAATGAAGAAATCCTGTTACATTACCTCACAGAATTGTAAAGTTAAATAGAGAATCGCATGGTATTTTTGGGAATCTCATCATGTTTGTTTGGTTACCATTTTCTAAGCGGTAATATTACGATTCTATGGTTCAAAGTCTGGTTATAATTGTTCCGAGATATTCTTCCATTGTCGGGAATCTCAATACTGGAGTCGTTATAGCTCACTAATTATTATTTGGGATCGGAAACTCGTAGAGCATGTATGTCAAGGAGGATAGCTCTTGAAAGTGCAAAAAACATTCTTCGTCGTCTTCGTTCGTCAGTGGGTTGGAGTGATATTCTTTCGGGGCTACTTGTTCAACCCAACCCGGGCACTTTTGTTTCATGGCCTCCACGAAAGCATCTAGTCCGTCCCTACCCGTGTCGGGGCAGACATACAAGAACTTCCCCCCGGGCTTTATGGTTCCGAAAATAACGGATGTAAGCAGAGGAACCAAGGATTTGATGTAAATCAGATCCGACCCAATGACGTGATCGACTTTTTCCTCGGGCCAGGTAGATTTATCTTCCCAGTCCATGCACTTTGCTTCGACAAAATCCTGAACCTCGTTCAATTCAATGTTGTATCGCAGATTGTCCACTGTCTGTGGGTTGAGATCGGTCAGGAACATTCGCCTCGGTCGCGAAGCATCAGAGGTTGCCACCATAAGTCCCGGCACGCCACACCCCGAACCAAGCTCTAGGACGCTAGAATCCTTCCAATAACCGGTCATTCCAACGGCCTGCATCCATCGCGCCATCACCAACGAAGCAGACCAGATGGACAATCCCGTGGTGTCTTGGTCCGGCCGATCTGTGTCTGCAAACGGGTTGTCTGCATTCTTCATGGCGAGTTCCCTGATTTTCAGGGGCCGTTCTTTGTCGAAAAAAGAGTGAACGTGCGAATCTAGCAGTTCTTCTTCTCCATCTTCGTTCCCACCCGTGCCCTTTTGGCTTCCCGTCGACAAGAGTTTTTCTTCCGATGCCGAATCGTGTTCCAGGATAGCGGCCACCACGTCTTCGTTTTGGGACGAGAATCCCTCCGTCAGAGCCGATCGGCCATGCGCATTTTTCTCCAAAACATCTACCTCAACAATTGTTTGGCTCGTCCAAAACTTGACGACCTCGGCCTTGCCATTCGCGGCCGCCCAGTGTAGCGGTGTGTTACCGGAAGCATTTTTTGTGAACGAGTGTCCGTATTGTCGAACCAGCAGCTTCACGACATTGGTGTGCCCGTTGGCGCTGGCCATGTGCAGCCCCGTATTCCCGGTATCGGGATGGACGAATCCGATGAGAGTTTCTTGAGAGGATGGAAAGTTTTCTGCCAGTGCCCGCACCACGTCCACTTCGCCGTACCGACAGCTCTCCATCCACTCTTCCTGAGCCTCTTCCAGAGTCAGTTCTTTCGCTTGGGAGAGTAGCTCTTGGTATTCTTCATCGCTTATTTCCATTTCGACGACACTATTTCCATCTTTATCGTCGTTGGCGGGTTCGACCGTTTTCGATTTGCTTTGTTTGCCCATTGCGTTTTGTTCTGGGATGGTTCTATCACTTCCGGAAAAGTGTGCGTCGTCCGAGATCTTGTGTGTTCGTTGAAAATGAGTTCAGGCCAAGTCTGAAAGAGGGCACAAACTCCACATTTATTTCGTGAACGAAGCCGATGCCTCCGTGATTTTGAGTGGTGAAGGTACGAGCTCGTACTTTCCAATGATTGAAAGTCAGTAAGCTGATTTCTGATAGGGTAGACTGACAGACTAAGTCCTTTCATTATTTCCTAATCACCTTCTATTTTGGTCTTTTACGAAAAGACTTCGACTCAGTACTGTTTTTAGTCACAAGTGGAGACCTCATATATATAGCACGCTACGGTACCGGTACGGTTGCAAAGGGCTTCCACGGCATTATTTAAGAAAGAGCAAGACTCGGAACACAGAACGGAAACTTGGTTCTAGCGGTGCTAGCTAGCTCAAGAATAATCGTCGACGCCAAGTCTCTTGATTCGGTACGTACTTTACTCGTACCAAGACCTTGCGGGAGAACAAGCGCCCTCGACGACTAACAAATATTTATCGTAAGATTTTAAAATGTCTCTGAACAAACCACAGCAGGAGATACCGTAAGGACCCGCCATTAACAATTAGTGTGACAGTACATTAGTAGTTTCATCTGAGAAGTGCAAGGGAATAGAGAGGGGAACAAAGAAACGGTAGAGAAACCGAAACAGATACCAAGAGAAAGCCTTGTCCCTATAGGATAAAAGGCGTTCTACGTCGCAGTAGATACCGGTGAACGTCTTGTGCGTCTGAGAAATTCATCAACAGCACTAGCAACGACATCTGTTGTACGCGCTCGCATTGTAGTGGACTCTCAAAATTGTGTGTTGCAAGACTACAACACAGGGCAACCATGAACGACGAGCTGGGTGGCACATCGACAACAAGGGTGCCAGCATGGAAATTGAGACAGCAACAACGACAAAGCAGACCGCCCGTGTCATCGCTTCATACTCGTGCAGACGATGAACTGGGTGGCGGCGGTAGATCCTACGCAAGCCGACGAAGAGCCAACGACGAACTCGGTGGCGGAGGACGATCGTTTGATAGCCCACTGAGCAGCAGCAGCAACAACGACGAACTGGGAGGGGCGAGGTCTGCGAGGGTGCCGGCGTGGAAGCTGCGAGAGCAGATGAAACGGGGGAACAACCATTTTAAGACCGACCTGGACGATGCCAATACCGTCAGCACTTCGAGCACGACGGGAAGCAACCTCAGCGTGTCATCGCCCACGCATAATGCATCCCATAATGCACCCCACAATGCGTCGCACCATCCGTTCCGGACGACACGGCAGCGGCCCGTCTCGCGGGTGCCCGGTGCCCCAGATCCGGGCCTGCCACCGGCGTTTCGGGCTGCCTTTCGCAAACAGCAGGAACGGAAGAAGACCTCGGACAGCTTCCTGAACCTGAGCTCGGTGCACTCGAGAACGACTGCGTGCTCGAACACAAACTATACTGCCGAGAGCAACGGTTCCCTTGGGAGCCTCGGGAGTAGCAGCGACGACGATTCCTTCGACGGAGAGGACAGCTTTGCGAGTTTGGATAGCGACGCCGACGAAGACGACGAGGCCTACCGGGAGAGTCGGAACCAGCTGGCGCGGCTCGAGATCGAAAAACAACAGCAATCGAAGGATGCCAAACGGGTTGGACCATCTCGATTCAAGAAAAAGCCAATGGGGGTACACGGGACGCCGCTGGGTTTCATAGCCGAATAGTAGCGAGAACCAGTGGAGGACATTGAAAAAAATGCAGTGGACGGTACCAATTGCCACTTCCATCGCTACCGCACTTTGTTTTATCGCTGTTCTCGTAAGGTAGATAACAGCCATCAAGAGGAGTCTTCCTTAGTAAAAATTGTAATCTTAACAAGGACGCTCCTTTGCCGTTCGAAACGAAAATGTTCTTCGTTTGCAGCATAGATTTCGCTTATCTCGCGTGTGAACAAAACCACAACGGTGCAGCAACGCAAAAGAATTTTGCATGTCCGGCACGGCGATGACGAGCGTGTGAGGGCGATGTTCCCAAAAACACCGACTCGGCAGCAATTTTTTTTTGAAGATTCGATAGTATTGATCCAATTTGGCCATGTTTTGCAGATCAAACCACCAGCATTGCATTCATCCTATTTCTGAATTCAAAACCTGGATTTTCATTATAGCAACGGAATAGTGATAGTACCTGTACGTATTAATATTATCATACATTCATTGCATCCCGGTATATTTAATTGTTATCACGATTATTGTGTAGTTGTGTATTCGTTTCAAGAGGTGGATCGAATGCCGCACGAGTTTACATTCATGATAACTGTTCGCTTTTCGGCTTCTCTTCGGTGGTAGAATATGCGCACTGCGAATCGAATCGAAAAGATTGGATGAGAAAAGAACCCCATACCCTTCCTACGTCCGCCAATGTTCTGTGCGGTGCGGGTCGATCTCGCAATCAATATTTGTTACTTGGTTGGCATGATGTCGTTCAGCTTATCGGCGGATCCTTTCTCTGCGACACCTTCCATCGGTGAGCCAGATGCTCCCTTCGCTAGCAGCTGGTTGGCGATGCCCCACAGGTGTTCGACCCTGCCGTCGTTGCTTACCCCCTGGAAAGCCTTTCGTCCGGCTTCCGTTTCGTTCATGGCGTCGTCGAAGACCAGGACGTTTCCGTTGTCGGCGTTGATCATTCGCACGTTGGGTCCCCGCTTGCATTGGTTCATGCAAAAGGTCTCTTCGAGTCGGATGCCGTCGCTGTCGCCAGTACCGGCAGCCAGTTTCTCGAAGGACTCGAGCGGATCGAATGCTCCGCGGCACTTTCCGAGGCAGCCGCTCCCCTGGCACACCCTTATTTTCAACGACGACGGCGACGACAGGGCCGACACCAAGCTGTCCGAAAGGACGGAGCACGCAACCAGGAGGCACGCAGCCCGGGCCAGAATGGTGGTGGATGGAATAGATCGATTCATGTTCGTGGCGCTCGTTGCTTTTATATCTCACAGTATGCTGGAACGGATCGCGGGGGTTGCTTTTTTCGAAAGAAGAAAACGATTTCAATGATTTGAAGACGTTTGTCGATTTGGGAAACAGAAAACGCAAGAAAATATTCTTTGGTTTGTCCTCAGCATCCAAAAAGCTCGGCGTCGTTTTTTGGTGATCAGACTGTAGAACGGTACGTACATACGTAGGGTAGTAGGCGATTTACGTACCTGAATTTGTTATCATCTATCTGTGAGTCAGTCGCTCGGATCACCATGGTCGATGAATGAGGGGAGGGGCACAAATAACGAGTTTTCAAGATCGAAATCTATTAGTCGAATGAGTCCAGTCGTGAGTCCCAAACCTGCACCAGTCACTGATGAGTGAAACTTGTTCCGCATGATAGCTTTTCGTACGGTACGTATGGTACATCTACAACTGTGCGATACGATACTCGTACGTACGAACAACCGCTGTACCGTACCTAGGGTATTAATTAACGCAACGATCAACCTGAGCCATCATCGCATCGCATCGCATCGCATCATCAGTCATCAGTCATGTTACATTTTTTTGTATTTTGTATTTGTATTTTTTTCAATTTTCTGTCTTGACTCGAACGTCATTAGATGATCAGAGAACACAATTTTTTTCTCTCGACCGTCGAAGGCAGAACAAATACGGTACAGATAATAAATTGCGTCCGTGCTACGAGTCGTCGTAACGCAGCTCGAAACCCGGCTAGGACACAGCAGAACCGTACCGCAACGAGAACCTAGCGCCCATATCAGACCGCAACTCAACGCATTGCACCGCACTGAAGCAAGGGATAACCATGGGGGGCAACAACAAACAACACGAATCGAACAACGACGGGGAGAACCGAGAACTGTCGGTGATCGTCCGGAGGAGGCTGGCGCTGTACGAAGAGGAAACCACCCGGCTGCTACGTCGGGCCCACGGATTGGCAAAGCAGAAAGACGACGAGGAACGCCGGTTGTACCAGCGAAGCATTGGCGACAACACGGTTCCCGTCTTGCCGAAAGCGAGAGCGAAACCAACGACTCCCGGTACTGGAGCGTCGAACGGTGACGAAGCGAAGGACATCGTTTCTGACAATAGTTCTTCCGACGGTGGCGATGGTTTCGGATTGGCAACGATCGAATCCGAAGACGAAAGCGAAAGCGAAAATAGCAGCAGTGACGAGGAGGACGAGGACGACGAAGGCAGCGACAACGAAAGTGGCATCGTCGGTACCCCGTCGTCGGCGATAGAATCAACCAAAACGGCGACAACCAAGCCCCAAAAAACTGGGAAACTCTCGGGCAGGAAACAGAAGCGCCTGGGGCAGGACATCAACAGACATGCGGACAACTTGATCCGAGTGGATCTGCCCCTCCCTCCTGGCGACAGCGACGTCGACGAAGGGGACGGCAATTCGACGTCTTTGTCTCTATCGCCTCACCTCCACTTGTTTCCAGCCGCGGCACTCTTGCCCAACAACAAGCTCCTGGGACCTTTTTGCGCGAGTGATCAAGCGGGCATCGTTAGGGATCTCTCGGAAACCATGTCCTCGGAGTCTTGCGAAGACGGCCTCGTCGTGGTGCTGCTGATCCAGAGCGGCAGGTTTGCAGGCGGTGTCTTTCGTCGCGGAAAATGCCTGGCGCACAGGGCCACAACCCGGTACACCATCCGAAAGGGGCAGGGGAAGGCGCAGTCGGTGCAGGACGGCTCTAGGCGGCCAAAGTCGATCGGATCCCAACTTAGGCGAGCGGGAGAAGAACAGCTCAACGAGGACGTCAAGCTGGCACTAACGGAATGGACCAAAAAGAGATACATCGCCGACGCGAGCCTCTTATTTCTGGCGTGTCCCAAAACGATGCGGTCGACCGTCTTTTCTCCCTCCGACGCGAACTCGAACAGAGCTGGTGGCAACAAAAGCAAACACAAAACAGACGACTGCATGCTGTCGAAAGACGACGATCGGATACGAAAGATTCCCTTCGATGTTGGCCGGGCAACCTTTCACAACGTGGAAGTGGTCTATAAGGTGCTGATGACTGTGGATTTGTGTCACGTGCAAGAGCTCGGTTCGACGACGAGCGAACGACATGCGATTGAATCCCATGGTGTTTCCGTCACCACCGAAACGGCAGACAAAGACGAAAGCGCGCACGATGATTTGGAGGAAGAAAAACGAAAACGAAAAGAGAAGCTCGCCGCAGATTTACCAATGACTCCCCTCCATGTCGCCGCTCGGGAGGGAAATCTCACCGTCCTCTTGGATCTGGTCCATAAAATCAACCACGGTGCCGATGACTGTCCTGGCGTCGATCAACCCGCAGGGTACAGCTGCTCGACACCCCTCCACTTTGCCGCGGCTGCCTCGAAGAACGTCGACCCCGTCACGGCCTCCGCAATCATATCGGCCCTGTTGATCCAGGCCCGTGCCGATCCCACTGTTCTGGACGCCAGTGGTCGTCCACCGTACTTTCTGGCCGGCCACGACAAGATCCGGGAGGGATTTCGAAAGGCCAGAGCAGCCCTGGGCGAAGACTACTGCGACTGGGACAGCGCCGCAAAGGTCGGCCCCCCGCTGACAGAAAGCGACCTGGAGGCCAAGAAAAAGAGGGAGGCCGAGAAAAAACGCCGCAAGAAAGCCCGGCAAAAGGAAAAGAAGGAAAAGGACCGGGCCGCGGCGAGGGAGGCGGAAGAGCGCAGGGCGGCCGAGGAAGAGGCCAGGCATACCGCGGAGGAAGCCAAACGGATCCGGGATCAGCTCCCGCCGAAGCCAACCGCCGCAAATGCCTGTGATTTCTGTGGGAAGATCTGCAAGGGGAGGAACGCCAGCAAAAACATGTTCCGGCGCCTGGACTACAAGTACTGCAGCACGGAGTGCGTCAACAAGCACAAGCGAGAACTGATGGCGGCCGCCGCCATGGCTCGGTTTGGATGAACGCAACAGAAAATAGCGCACGCTATGTGTTATAGTCTGGTTGATACTGGTGACAAATTTGAAGATTAATACTACTTGKTACAGTACTTCGTACTAGTATTGTGATCATCGTACAACTGGTAGTAGCATTACTAACAGTGGCATAAAACCCGCTTCATCCTTCTCTCTGCCTTCCGGAAAATATGAGCAGAGAGCAATATTTAAGTGATAGACTTTGATCCCAACAACCTTGTTCTTTCACCAACTAGTAGCACCCATCAATCATTATCCTTGTTGTTGTCATCAACTGATACTAAGTCCAAAATACAATTCCACGTGTAAGCTCTTTGAGCAAGCATAATCCATCTTTTCGAGGAGAACTGTTGATCTACGGTACATCCGTACCGGCACGTACGCGGCGCATCGTATGTACTCGTACTCATACTTTAATTGACTTCCAAATTCCAATGTTTTTGAAAACTCGTGCGGTTGATGCACGGTATCGATGTCACAAACATACAAACATTCAGTTCCTGTTTCCTCCTGGGTACGGTACCTGGTACTCGTACGGACGTTTTCCTACGTACGTGGGTACTTACTACTACTACCAGCTACTAGTATAGTAAGTCAACTACGGTACTACTATTGTAGCGTACGAAAAGATACAGTAACAGTAGTACCGGACAATGCAATGGTACGGTACCGTACGTACTGTAAGTAATCGTTCGTACTACCTTTTACCGTACGGTATGTTTTTAATTTTTTCGCTTTTTTGAAGTCCTCGTGTGCTGTTCCCGCTCCGTCCTGCAGCACGCAGTTCATTCATTCAAAGTATTGTAGTAGTTGATACGAGTACGCTACAAGATGCATTCCGGTACAAGTACCGTACGTACGAACGTTCATCAATTCATCAACAAATACGAAATTCGATTGAATTTGGATTTACAAATTGAAATTGCCTTTCGTTCATTTCTGTAGTCTTTTCCTTGACTTGAACTTCGATAGCAAGTACTTCGTATTACCGTTGAGTGAGATGAAGGAGCCATGTCTCTCATATTACCGCATTGAACTGCCAAGAAAATCAATGGAATGAGGAGAATCATTATGAGAATTTTCATGACCACGAAGAACAGCAATATTCCTCTGTACAGTCGCTATTGCTTGCGGATAAGGAAAAGAACAGTTGCAATGAGAAAAATATCATCATCGTTTTTATCTACGACCTCTGATATTCAAATTAGGACTGCAACACCGAAAATAATACCCTGTGAGGTTTCATGCCTTCTTCGGCATAGCGTTCCTCCAGGCTGTGTAGCACCTTCGCCGCCAATGAATGGATGTGTTTATATTTATAGGTCCTTTTCTTCTTCATTCTGTTCCGAACGCTTTGGCACGGACATCTCCCGGAGCCGAACTGAACAATTTCAATCTCGGACACAACCTCAACAGCAGCCACGACGACGATTTTTCTCGTCGGATACCGATGATTGCGCTGTTGAGAGTGATCATCTTGGCAGAGATACAAGCAGCAACGATATTGTAGCGGATGCTTCCGATGTTTTGTTGCTTGAAAAGGCAGCTTTCACCGCAAAACATGTCGAATTTGGAGTCTTACAATCGGTTGAATTTGCGATTTGGAAAGCATCTGGTCCCGCAGAACGGAGGAAAATGGGTCGTTTTCTGATACCGCAGTTGCGAAATGCCACCGAGGGACTGCTAAATGTTACCAGAGATACCGAGTTGCTATCTCACTCTATTGAGAAAGTGAACGAGAAGAAGGGACACAATACCGCAGCTGAAAGATCCCTTAGAGAATTACACTGTGCATTTTTGAATCTCACGCAAGTTTTGCTTGATCATCTAGATGATGAAACATCAACGAGAGAAGAAGGCGAAAACGACAATAACCGCAAGCTTCCGACAGATCCACTACAATTGATAGAACTGGTGCTTTCTATTTCTTACAGGGCGCATAAATTGCGGCTGACATACCATTTGCCTCTATACCAACGGCTGGCCATTGCAGTGGCAGAGCATCCGAAGATTGGTGAAGATAAAATCTCGGACTCAATGACAACAACGTTAGGTTGCTTAGTAGGTAATTCCAGAGGTGAATGGATCCAGACCATTAACAGTTGGTCACAAACTAGTTTTGGTAGTGACAGCGAAAGCGAAAGCTCGAATGATAATGACCATCCCGTTTTCCGAACCGATCAAAACGATTTGAAATGGTTTCGCCCTTCGCTGAAAGTTTTAGCCACGGGTGCAAGGTGGTCTGATGTTTGGCATATCTTGAAAGGCCTCCTGCGTCCCCTTCCGGAATTGACAAGGATGGACAACAAAAGCCACTATCAAGATCGCAATAAAGAGTGTTATTCGATAGACCATAGTCGATGTAGTCGAGAGACACTTCTTGAAACAGGAGTTGAAAATGAGTACGATGATAAAAACGCCTTTTCCGATCAAATTTTTGACGATGATGATGTCATACTATCATCGGCTACAACTTTTCCCTATCTGGATGAAGACCTTGTAATCGATATTTTGCTTCCTATGGAACAGCAAGGGTTGCTGGCCGATCTATGGAGCGATGGAGGATGTTACCCACCCCCCAAGGCCGTCGAGGACACATGCAATATAATTCTAATGATGGAGCCCAGTATTTGGAAGATTTTCGGCAAAATCGCTAGTCATGTAAAAGCAAATCTGATAACCAACTTAAAAATGGACCAAAAGAAAACGTACAGCCTTCAAGATGCAATCCAAATCCTCTTGAAGAATAGTGAACGCAACGCTTTGGATGATGGCAACCCCGAGGGACTGGGAGAACACTTCCTGGACAATCATGAGAAAGATAGCTTGGTTCAGGCCCTCAAAGAGCTGGAAGATTTACTCGACGAACATCTACACCCAGAGGATGACCAAGTTCCTGGGAATGAGGAAGCTAACCAAGCATCGGAGCTGACTGCTTTGGCCACTGATTTGTCGGATGAAGTCAGGAGCGATGGTTCTGTAGACAAGAATTACAATAGTCGCGTTCATTCAAGGACGTCAGAAGATAATAGTTCACAGAACTTATCAGATATGATGAAAGTCCGAGTGAAAAGATCAGGTGATGATAATATTGTTGAGGTGACTAATGTTGAGGACAAGTACCATCAGTCAACAGAGGAATATCTCGAAGGCATTACGGATGAGGATCATTTTCTTTATTTAATATATGATGATCGTGCACGGAACTACGAAGACAACATTCCAGATATAAGCCACCAGATATATGAAAAAAATGGAGGAAAACAGCTACGATATACGGCGTCATTGGAGCGCCATATATATAATGGAATGCAGCAGCGTCTAGACTATGACAGTGAAGAAGACGACGACATTCATCTTCTGTAAACACTTGACACTTCACATTATTTTTTTCAGTTTTGAATGGTCCAATGAGAAAAATCGTAGCGAAGTCTCTCTTTTGGTATACGCTGGATGCGGTCATCCTCTTCGTGAAATTTGCAATGCTACAGTACGATGATTGTTAGCAGAAGATTAAAATAGATGCTTAATATCTTACTTTAGATATTTGAAATGAAGTTTTAGAGAAAGCCTTCAGTGATGCTTGGTCGAGTGCTGTTGATAGATTACAAATCGAGAATAGTATGCAATCATTTCTTCGACAATGTTGACAATCCAACTTGTTTCTTATTTTCTTGTACTCTCCAGTGCCTTGTCGTGATTGCTACCTGCAGGAGCCTCCGGAAAATCGTTAGCCACATAACGTTGATCCCAATTTAAGAATCCGCGACATTCTGGAGCACCACAAATACAGGGTATGCGTTTTGCAGGATCATATTCCAAATCAAACTTGTAGTCGTATGTCAACTCCTCTCCTGCCTGTATATCACGCTTAGCGTAGACGACAATTCGCTTCGTTCCATCGAGGGATATTATTTTAGGATAACAATTCGGCATGCAGCTTGCATTGATGAAACGGGCTACATTCCCTTGTTTAGTAGCATCGCTAACCATAAAGTCGTCAAGGCGAAACATGTAGTCACTTCCGATTTTTGCAGCCTCATACTCCTTTTCTCGCTTCTCGGCCATGGCATTCCCGATTAACTCTCCGCGATATTCGATAATCATTTCTCCGTCTCTAATATCAACATCCGTAAAAACTCCCCAGCCATGGATATTACTCCGATCAAAACGCACATTAGATTCTCGTCCTGCCAATGTATCAACATCTACGCCCATCGCTGCGGCACTCCGCAAAAGTCTACGTTGCTGTGCTCGGGCAGCCCTTCCCTGGGGCATTTTCTTCAATGAATCGTTCTTTCCCAAGATTCGCTCACCGTTACGCTTTCGAAAAACCCGAAGGTTCCTTGGCTTCTCTGAAAAATCAGGAGTATGCGATCGGAACGCTTTCCACTCGTAAAGATCTGCCGCCGAAACAGAGAATTTTCGATTCTGGACATCATACGGCAAGAGACGTGAGCACGTCGAACGAAAAGGTTCGCTTCTAGAGACCGGCATCGTTGGAAATTGACTTATTTTTTGTTTGCTAAAGGGCGACATGGCGCTATTTTTCCTCGCACGATCCCGAACTCCCTTCTTCGGAGTTAATCTCTTCGTTCCTTTGGAAACTCTAGCTTTGATCTTGGTTATTGGTTTCGAGGAGGCTGAGTTCATAAATGTAGATAACAAAGATGGAGAAAACATGAAGTCTACTGGATTGATGCTTTTGAGAACGAAACGCGTGGCAATAAAGCCAGAGTCTCTGTCAGCCGAGTATTCTTTCAACTGCTGAAGCGTTGAATCCAGTTTCGACTCTGACTCTGAAATTTTATTTGACAGATCAGCAAGCAAATTATTGTTAGTTCTGTCAACACAAAAATCACAGTCGCAACGGTATTTCTTCTGTTTTTCATCCTTATATGTTCCCCATTTAGCAGCAGGGGAAGACTTCAAACACTCGAAGCACAATTCACACAGCGTGTGAGATACACCAGCGAGTCGTTTGCCAACTGATGAATGATGTTGACAACGACGGCATCTGTGCATATCTAATTTCATCTCTTCCGCTTCCCCTTCCCCTTCTAGCTCACAAAGATAGTACGTGTCACTCAGAAACGAATAAGAGGAGCGAAGTATCATTGAGCTTGGCTCGTCTATTGTCCCTTTGTTTACCGTCTTTTCCGACGCAAACTCACGATGAATTTTTCGGTGAACAATGACTAATTCTTCGATTGGTACCTGAAGCAAACATGGTGATTCAATATCAGACGCAGAATTCATGTCGCTGTCAACCACATTCTCTTGCTTCTCGGGCGAGATAACATTTGTGTGTTGTGTTGTGTTGTCATTCTTCTCTTTTTGTGAGGATAATCCTGTATCCAAATCGTTATTTTCAAAAAGATCCCAAGGTCCATGGTGGCTCAATCTACCAGTGCGGGTATGTTCCGGTAGAACCATAAGCCGTATCGTTACCAGTGCCAAGGTACCAATGAAGGTATTCTTTTTCGGTTGCGTAGGTTTGATACTGATCACTTCTCCCACAAAATTGTAGCATAATAATTTCAACAATTCTTTGCTAATCGGTCGTTGACTAGCGAAGATCACCTGATGAGGACTGTGGTATCGTCCTGCTTCCCATCTCCAGTTTCCCTCCTGTTGTGCAGCGGAATCGTTCCCGTCGCCAAGATACATGGGATCAGAAAAGTCTTTGTTATAGGAAGTGTTGGTAGTAGAGTCTATGGCGATTTTCTTTCGTTTCGATGTCAACGAATGCATTGGCGGTGGCGTCTTCGGATTGCCCTCGTTTTCATTTTTTCTGTCATTGCTTGCACAATTCGTGCCCCCGTGCTTCCCCGAGTTGGACATTTCGATATACTTCTCCTCATCGATAGAAGTAACATTGTTTCCTGCCTTATTGCGTCCTATTTTGTCGTTCTCGCCATTGTTGTTGGCGACTGTAGGTGTTTTAACAAGAACTGGAAGAGGTATCCCGCGACGAATTATTTTAGTGGGAGCACGCTTTCGAATCACCCATTTTGCTTGTATAGGATTTTTTGTTACACTCGTAGTATGAGAAGACCCTAGACTGCTCAGTGTTACACGCACAACAGCTTTGTGTTTCCCTCCCTTGATCTGTTCCTCGTAGAGTCGCTTGCGCTGTTCTGACTCCTTCAAGACCCGTCCGACAGCGCTTTTGCCATCATCATCAAGTCGTCTTAAAAATGGTAGTCTAACGCTTAGAGTAGTGTTGTCTTTGTTATCGACAAGTAGATCTATCAGTATTGGCGCATGATCTTCACAGTCATGAACCATATTCACAACTGTTCCCTCTAACAGGCGGCTTGTTGCATTATATGGTTCCTTCAAGACAGCCTTCGGAAAGAAACAACGGATCCTGCTTCCAATGAGCGCCAGACCGTCGTCTCGGCCCCGTTGGGGATCGGTCCATACCTCAGAGAAACGTGCTGTGGCAACTGGTTCCCAGATATCACATTTACTTACTTTTCCGGCCCCACTTCCACTACCCCCTACCACCGATAGATTATTTTTCCTCGGTTGATATCGGAGCGCCACAAGACATCCAATCTTGATGCGAAATGGTGATTGGTATTTATTCTTCCGCTTTTTGGATATCTTGTTGTGGCCATTCTCAGTAATTGCTGACGACATTATTGTTCGACCTCCCGCAACAAAAACTTCAATACAACTAATGAAAGGCTTGACTCCGGAACACCACTCCACAAAAGCCCAAATCCCATCGCCAGTAACTTGGGTTCCTGATAACCCCAGATTGGATGATTCAAAATACGACAGAGGCACAAAGCAGCCTTCTAGCAAGACGCTGTTTGCATCTCGGACAACAATCTAACGAGTTTGTTTATGTTGACTTCAATAATATGACTTCTCCAGGTATTCAAATCAGTGCCGATACATAGTGTCACGTCTTGTTCTTGCAGCATACGGTGCGTATCGTGCGGAGGAACGTACGATACGATACTACTGTTTGTTTCACGTAATTAATGTTGTAAAAAAAAATGGGTTATGAGTTCCTTTTTGCCTTCTCTGATAAAGGCCCAACAGGACCAGTAGGACTAAGAAGATTCCAATCTGAATATCAGATTGGCAGTTGACATAAAACAAACAAACCCTTACAGCGCTGAATTTGTTAGTAGGACATTGGTTAATTATAAGAAATAAGAGTTACTACTACCAGTATTACTAGTACTACCAGTAGTACGAGGAGCTCTTGAATGACAACACCAACAACAAGACCCAAAACAGAAGCAGGAGCAGTACTAGTAGTAGTAGTAGTAGTAGTAGTACGAAAACAAGAAAACTCTTGTTCCTATGATAATAACACCACTGCAACGGATACGTACGTACTAGAAGGATACGTACGATACGAAGCTTCGAAGAAAGGAATGAGGGAACATACCATTCCTACCTACATATCATAATGTACTATTRATACATATGCATCATACGATCCATCATGTTGRTGATCGTGAGAGGTCTAAGATACTAWTCGAGAATACCTCACGAAGAATAGAGATGTCACGAGTCCGGAATAGAGAACCTCCATGTAGATTCCCTACCAGACCTACATGAGGTTCTATTCGGAACTTCAGAATTCTCGTGAACGCGCTCGGTAATCTTAATCTTATAATTCAATTTTCATACACACTTAACACCTACTAAGAGTACACGTAATCTCGTGCAACCACAACCCAGATACTTCTTTGGCTCCTCCTGTCAATTCTTCCAGTTTACTTCAAACCAAGCTCAGTCAATTCTTTTGTTAATTCCAGTGAAACACACCCCTGGTCGCCCTTCCACTAAAACTGCTTGGAGGGAAGTGCCGCCCCTCAGAGCAGCTAGAAGCATTCTTTCCACCAAAAGATATGGTTCTGGCCATATAGCGCTTCTTCTAGCTCACAAGGTTAAAAATAATATTAAGATTTTTATTTTTTTTGATAATAACACCACAGACCTCAACAGAGGTGGTTGTGGTACAAAATTCTGGTTACATTTTTTGAACACCAGTAACATCAGTGAGATTGAAAGCTTTAGCTTGAGATTGCTGAAGTGAGGTTACAACAAGTACTATTACTATCTTCAACAACAAGCTTACTTGAGAGCTTTAGCTCAAGAGATTGTTGTTAAATATACTAGCAGTAGCTAATAGTACTAGTACTTGTTGGTGCAGTGAAAGCAGAGCTCTTCCATATTTTTTTACCTACCTAGCTGTTGAAGAAGCTCAACATTACCATGTACTCCTCATTCAGAGGACAATTAGTAATGGCTCCTCTCATTGGCTGTTGGTGATACAGAGGACAATTCATTAATAGCTTATAGCAGTACAGAGGACGTGTATATTGAGGAGCTGCTGCTGATGGTGAGGAGGACACTGTTGATACTACAGAGGAGCTGCTGATACAACACAAGTCACTGATATGGAGGGCGCTCTTATGATACAAGTTGCTGATACCACAAGTTGCTGATACAAGTTGCTGATATGGAGGACGATTAAAATTGTTGATAAGAAGGACACTGATACATTAGTACAAGTTGCTATCTCCTACAGATATGGAGGACGACGTTCACTGATATGGAGGATGTTGATACAATACAAGTTGCTATTACAGAGAAAGCTGATAGACGACAATTTTGCATCACTTTCTAGTAGTACTAGGTGACATTGTACTTAGTTCCCAATTAATTTTGTATTTTGTACTGTATGGACTGATAATATTCACACAGCAAAAAGTTTGTTCCTGTTGAGGTGCATTTGCATGCTGGTGAAAAGCCCACCACCATGTGCTTTTTTGTAACCAGACCCATCTAGTAGTAGTACTAGTAGTAGCTAATACAAGAAAATGTTACTGAAAAGACACGTTAATTACTCATGTTAATCACTTGAATAGATATACACACCTCAAAACTCAAGTAATTAAATTAATTAACTGAAGTAATAAAGTTAATTAATTTTTTATGAACTGAAGTAAAAAAGTAAATTGATTTTGTGCATTCCCTCCCCCTACTAAACTGCACAAAACTATACCGCAAAAAACAAAATATTTTTAACTGCTGGTGTGCAGTAAATGTTAATGGTGTGTTCAGTAAGCATTTCTCCTGAGGTCTTATCACTCTCATGTTGGTATTTAAAAAATTACAACAATTTTTGAGGAATGAATGAGGATGACCATTGAGGGGATTTCCAACATGACGTCATTCAGTTATATCTAGTAGGTCCACAGTCTGTTTGCAATGATATACACAAATCCATGTTGGAGTCCAAGTGATAATTGTATATTGATGTCTCAATACTTTCATTTTTACAAGCCACCATACAAAGATTCAGTTGCTGATTTGGTTGCTGATACAGTTCCTTCTACTGAATCAGTTGCTGATTCTCTTTCTTTGTTTTCAGATCCATCCAAGGATCATGCTCAGAAAAAAGATATTTTACCTGTGTTTGTTACTACTTCTACCCTCCATTAGAGCCACAATCAGACCCACAAAAGGCCTCATATTCCTCTCCATAGTCATCCAAATCCCAAGAAAGGAAGCTTCAATCCATACTGTCAGAATTCCCCCACTCACCATAAGCAAACTCTTTTTGCACGACACTGCTGAATACAAGAAGCAAGTGAGGTTGTTTTCCCTCTTCATTACTGTCCTATGGATCTCAAAGAACCACTTGTGTTTGTCCCTAAACCTTAGCTTTGGAGACAGGAAGAGTAGCTTTGTGAATCAAGCCACCAATTCAATGGTGGCCTTTGCAAGATCTTTCTCTTTCAAGCGGCTGGTCTTCATTTTAAAACCAGCACAGGTGTTCTCCTTGGTGTTGACTTCTTTGTTGTGTGCTGGTGTTGGCTTATTCCTGTCCCATTCCCAATTCTCCACCCAGTTCTATTCTTTTGGATTGAGGACAAACTGTACTTGAGGGGAAGAATCGTCAATTATTTCTGGTGGAGGGGGCTCAAGAGCTTTTGGGGAAGGCACAGAGGTATCCAAAACCCTTACGTTTTGAATTGCACGACTGGGATCCGTGTTCCTTGTTGCACGATTAGATCAAAACGAGCTTAAGTGAAAACGGTGCGCGTGAAGAGCGCGCAATTCGCACGATACTAAGAATTGAGCGAATCTATGACGTCGTTCCCGCGACCTGATGACGTCGCTCCATGATTCATTCCCACTTGCGTGTCATCCAAAAAAATATGACAAATCGGGAAACCAGTTGCAGAGAATTTAGACATCACCTTTTTTACGCCACAATTGAAAATTACTCACTCCAGAGTGAGTCGAAGTTGTACGGTGCAATACAGAAGTACCGTATGCCACCCGCACTCATCCCACATCCACTTCTGTTCTGACTCTACTGTAGAACATTCGCTGAGAAACAAAATGACTATCGACCAAGTTTTTGTTTCTTCTTCTGTTCTTTTCACGACAACAACTAATTCCAATTCCAATTGCCAAAAATTCCTTCTCCGTAAACCACCGATTTCACTTTCATCATCTCGGGGCGACTACCGGCATCTCTCATCCGGAAACCCTCTCTAACTGCTGATGAGCACAAGTTTTTGAGTAATCATTTGGATTCCATTATTATTGCAACCCTTTTCTCTCTGGAAGAGAAAAAGAAAGATGAGTTCTTGTTCTGCCGTAACCATTTTGGCTTTGTGCCTTTTGTCAACTACGGTAACAAATGCTTACGTAAACGTAAAATATGCTCTACCCGAGCCTCGCAAACTCGAATACCTTAAGCAGATCACGGGGGAAATTTGCGACCAACCAACGGGCGAACTCTCAGACGCAATGATCGCTGATTCCCACCGTGTGATGGAGGGTTGGAGCACTACAGGTTTCAAGACCTCTTCCAAAGAAAATGCAGTTGCAATCGAAAACCTCGTCAAGCGACTCGTCGACGAAGCCGAAGCGGGAAACTCGAATGCCAATCCTACGACAAAGGATTATAACTGCATGCTAGAAAGCTGGGCCCGCAGTGGGGAGGGTGTTCACGCTGCAGAACGGTGCGAAGAAATTCTGGTCCAGATGCAAGCGGAATACGAGTCGGGAGCTTCGTCGGCACAAATTCGACCGAACCTGTCCTCCTTCAAGATCGTTCTCCAAGCGTGGAAACACGCAGGTGGGAAAAAATTGAGTTCCTTTCGTGCCCAACGCATCCTCGATTGGATGTCGTCATTGCACGAAAGCGGCAAGAACAGCTTGGCGCAACCCGACCAGATGTGCTTTGACACCGTACTGCAGAGTTGGTCTCGCAACAATCACGAAGAAGCCCCTGTTTACGCAGAGCGCCTCTTGGCGAAAATGGAAACTATGAAATTAGAATCCACGGCCATCGTTCCCCTGGTCCAACCGAGAACTCTGAGCTTCAATGCTGTTTTGGGGGCTTGGAATCGTGCATCCCTAACACCTTCTCTAGAATCGCCGTCGGCCTTTGCGTCGCAGCCCTCATCGACGTCCTGGCAAAGATCATGCGACATTTTGGAATTCATGGAAAAATTGTATTACGTCGAAGGGAACAGCATGGTTGAACCCGATCGGGTCTCTTACTCGCTTGTGCTAAGAACTCTAGCACGACACAAAAACGACGACCGAGCTGCACCGAAGGCGGACAAGATTCTGAGGTTCATCGAAAAGAAATCAAGAAACGGTGAATTGTCGTGGCGACCGGACACCCTCCTTTTTAACACCGTAATGGGATGTTGGTCGCACAGCCACCTGAAGGGATCATATCGCAAGACTCGTGGCATTCTTGATCGTCAAATCCACCTTTTCACATCGTTCGACGGGAAGGTAGGGAGCGACGATTGTCGACCCGATGTCTACGGGTTCACAACCGTCTTGTCGAGCTGTGCACTAGAACGTGCAAACGGCGAAGAGAAAGCAAAGGCATTTAATGTTGCACGTTCTACGTACCAGCAATTAATCACAAACAAGGATGAGTACGGAGCTCCAAACCACGTGACGTACGGAACCATGTTGAAATGCGTTTCGAACTTGTTACCTGCTGACCACCCACAACGCAAGAAGTGGACGAAAAAAGTGTTCAACCAGGCCGTGGCCAATGGTTGTGTCGGAGGTATGGTTTTGAGTCGTCTCAGCGAAGCGGCGTCTTCTGCCAAGGAATACAAAGCCCTTATGCGGGGACACTCTAAGAAAAAACTGCCTGCAGGGTGGACTAGGAACGTCAGTGAAAAAACCGAATACCGTCGAAAGCGATCCGGGAAACGGGCCGAAGTCTGAGAAGTTCTCTAACAGCCTTCAAAGTTTGATTTTTTTCGTTTTCGTCTGCAATACTGCGACGAGACGAGGATAAGTACTCAGTACTAGTACCTTTAGTCGCAATTAGCTCCTACAAAGTCCGTTCACGACCAGCATCTACTCAACTCAACGGATATCAAATGCGCATCATTGGCATTCAAAATCCAACTACATTGATCGAATGCATGAAATGGTAAAAATGCACGTTGTTCCTTGGACCTTGGAATATGGTGCTCTCTATCATTTCCCTTCCCGTTTCATCATTGTTCAAGAACAAGAGAATCAACATCTTTGAGATGACTTACTATCTCTCGGTGATCCTTTTTCCACGAAATGGTTTATTCTTCACTTAGTTACCCTTTGCAACACAACAAACTCCCTCTCACAACTGTAAACACTAGTAGAAAATATTTCTGAATGGAACGCAATGTGCACACTATTTACGATTGTTGAATTCTGGCATGATGATGAAAAAATAATTGTGGTTTATGAAAAAACATATCATCTAGACAAAATGAGTTCCATGTTTCTCAACTACATTCGAGGACAAGAACCGAAATCTTCTCCGGCTTTTCCAAATTGTGCTCCGAGGTTATTGTAGGAGTTTGGGTAGTTTTCACCAAAATTGAATCCGTCGTGGAACTGGTGATATTGCTCGGCTACGTACGAAGGATATTGTTCGCTATCCATTATCCAAACGAGGCGTGGGATGTCCCTGTCGGTACCCTTGCCCACCGCAAAGTCCAATTCATCGCCTGTTTCCTTCGACGCCTCGACCAGTAGTTTTGCCAGGTCCGCGTTCTTTGACCCACCCTTGAATCCAACGATGTTGCGGTACTCGAGGCCTCTGTCCCCCAACTGGTCCGGACGCATACCGTTCTTGAAGAGCTTGCAGTATTCAATGGCAAAATCCTTAAAGTTCGACTTAGGGATGCGGAGCGAAACTACTTCGGCGTGCCCCAGCTTCCCATAGTCGGATACTTGAGCGAAATTGTGGTAGCAGCTGCAGTATGACAGGATTGTCCCGCAGAAATAGGAAAACGATGCGATATACAATATCCGGAGGGAGACAACGATCGAAGAAAAAAGAAAAAAACTTGAGGAGAAGGATGTAGCATCGATAATATCGATGAAAACTGTGGATCTATCTCACTCGGCATTCTCCGTATTTGCCAAATTATAATCCAGAACCTACACTTTTCCGTCTTTCATTCCTAGGTTTCCTCCCGCGTAGCCAGCTCGACTTGTCACTTTATTGTCACTACGGCCCAAAATGGACTTTTCTGCCTCGACAAACTCATGCTGGACGTGCCAGAACTATAAAAGTGTTTTTGTTGTTGCATATATCCGCCCATCGTATTGAGTGCACGGGTTGTTTCCCAATCGTATCCAAAGATCCAACAGCGATGGCAGAGAACGAGTTAGAAAGGCAGGGCAGGGCAGGGCAGGAATGATGGTCCTCTCACACAGTGCCTTGAGCGAGACACGTCATCAGTTAGTGAAGTTACGCTTGCCAGAAAGAAAACAAACTTACGCATCCACAACCAAAATACACATCAATGAGCTCTTCTTCGCCGTCATTCCCAGCGGCGTGTGCGATTTGCGGTCCGGATAAAACCGCTAGAGAAGGCGATGTCAGCAGAACACTGGCCGCCGCCGAAGAGCAAGCCTCGAAAAAAGATCTTCGTCCACCCGCATTCTTTATTGCACCTGCTTCTTCGTTCACCGAAAACAATCTAGACAGAGAAGACGATACTTTGCGTTGGTGCGGATGGGAATTCTGCCACGCGAAGGCGATCTGGCTCACCGAGAGGAAGATGCAAAGGAAGAAGGACCAAGAGCGACGGTGGGAATCGGATGGTGTCATCGCGGCTGCGTTTGGTTGAATCGATACAGGAAGAATTGGTAGTGAAGCAAAATATTAATCTGTAGGAGGGACGACGGTTCAGGCCCAAGAGGTGCTACTTTTGTTACCAAGTCTCAGTTCCTGTAGGTTCAGTTTGTGTTTTGGAGCAGAGTTTCTCGGTCCAGGCTGTTGACTGCGAAAGCAATTAACGGACACGTCCAATACAACACAACAATATCAATACAATCCCCTTCATGGTACCGTACGGCACGGACAACTACGTACCTACTACTAACTGGTACCACCTACTTTGTTACGAGTACGTACTCGTACCTTGCTACTCGTATCCAAAATGTGTCATGTGTCATGCCATATTCCATACTATGGTATGGTACGTACTGTATTCGTTCTCAGTTTGTAGCGTTTCACTTGTGGGTAATTTGAGTCCTGGAATCGACTCATTTGACCGTATGTAACTGGTTAGGTTTTTTTGGCGCGAAGTAAGTCGGGAAGCGCGGCATCGGTACGTAGTGGTAGAGATCCCCTCTGACTGAAGGATAGGAGGAACGAAGATGTTGCTTTATGCAAAAGACAGTACCGAGACGAACAGTATCATATGTACTTCGTGCCTTGTAGCGTACGAGTACCGAACGAAGTGCACGGCATTGCTTCGGATAGGTGACAATTACTTCATCGTTCATGGCACGAATGGCAAGTGCCATACCATCTACAGCGTCTTCTACCGCAGCGTAGGCTCTAGCCAGCACGAACGTCGCTTCAAAGAGGTACCTCCACTACGATCCGAGTAGCACGACACGGGTCAAGCAAGAGTACCCGTCCTTTCCGAAGAGTGAGGCAGCTGCCAGCCTGCCGAGAGATGGTGATTGTCAATCCCTACCTGAAGAAAAAGAAGCCTCTTTCGGGAGGCAGCGGCGCTAGTGGTTCGGGCCGTGCCCGTCCTCCGTCCATTCCGCATGTCCCAAACAAACACAAGGCCCACGCTGCCTCTTCCCGGGGGACTTCTCAGGCCCCGCCCCCTCGCGTGACGCCAAACGGAAAGAAGACTGTACCCGTAGCCGCTGCTAATAGAACCAAAACGGAAACCAGCGCAAATCCCAAAGCATCCCCCTCGCCGCTGGCCTACAACAAGAATGCCGCAAACAGGCCACGGGTGTCTCCTCAAACCAGCAGTACTAAKGTAGAACGGAAGATCTCTGATAGCAGCCGTGGGAGCAACAGTGCTGGAGGCAATGGTGGCCGCTCTTCGCCTCCGCAAAGGAAGGCAGCTCCCTACAGAGCCGGAAGCAGCAGCAGGTCGTCGAAAACAAAACTGACGGTAAAGCAACGACTGAAGCAAGAAATCGCTGCGCTCAAGAAGCAAAAACAGCTCCAAAAGCTACAGAAGGAGGCCGAGGAACGCCGGCGGCGTCGATTGGCGGAACAGAAGGCAGAAGAAGAGCGCAAGACGGCACTCCTGGCCGAAAAGGAAAAAGTGAAGCAACAGAAACAAGCCGAGCGCGAGCGACTCGCTAGGCTCAAGGAAGAAGAACGGACTCGCAAGCAGCTAGAGCGGGAACGAAAGCAGCGCGAAAAGGAGCTGGAAAGAGAACGAAAACAGAAAGAGAAACTTAAAAAAGAGGAGGAAAAACGCCTCCGATTGGAGCAAAAGATGGAAGAACAAAAACAGAAGGCGGAAGCGAAATATCAGAGGGATTTATTGATATGGAAGATTCATCAGCAGCGCTGGATGGAACAGCAGCAAAGAATACATTATTTCCAACAGCAGCAGCTTCTGCAGCAACGCCAAACTCACCATCCCTCTCACAATCAATACCAATTCTTTCCCAATCAACAGCGACAGCAGCTGTATCAATATGAAGGTCAACATCACCAGCAGAACCAGAACCAGCATCAGTACAAAATCGAAAAATTTTCTGCAGGAAAATCGCCTCTTTTTCCTCGAACCCCGACTCAGAGTCTCCCCAAAGGTGAATCAGTGGAAGATCCTAACCACAGAACCGTCGTCGAAACGAAACCATGCGTTCCGGTCGATACGATCCCCGGACAAAAAGTATCTTGTCAAAGTACACACTCCACTTCATCGGAACCCATATCTCCCCTCGACTCACCCACTGCACTTGCCATCGACTCCTTGCTTCGTTCGGAATTGATGTCACCGAAGCGGCTAGCTGCTTCTGATGCAAGCAGAGGTGGTGAAACCTCGCCTCTCTCGGTGAAATACACAGAGGCAGATGCCAACAGAGACGACAAACGGGACGAACCTTGCTCCGAAGGTGTCGATATGAATGCACTCTCTGTGTCAACGAATTTATCGAAGGCGCCGCAACCTGAGGAATCCGTCTCTGCAGAATGCCGCCATGGATCGGGCATCAATTCAAACAAGACTGGGGTCGACCCGACAACTGCTGGGGGCGTTGGCTCTCCTTCGCCATCAAGCATCCAAAACCAAGACGTAGAGCCGAAAAATTCGAGCCTTGCACCAATGGAGTCTGGAATCGATCATTCCACGGCACTTCGTGAACAAAGATCGACCGGCGTTGCTCCGAATACGGTATCTAGTTCATCTGCCTCTCTGACTACCGGGGATACTTTGTGCCAGTCTCCACTGGAATCTTCTGCCATTCAATCGCCGCCGATGACATGGTCACAACAGAGTTGTCCTATGCTGACTCCGCAAGGAATTGCACAAAAGCCACCCATTTATCATCAAAGTTCACTTGATCGAAGTTCGAGCTATGGTTCGCACTTTCCATATTCTGGAATGCCAACACGGGATCCTGCGCCCTTTTCCAACTGGAAATCAATGGTCGTCAACACTGCGTTTAGTAACGAGAATTATGGTCCGCTGGGATCGTTTGCTTGGATTCCGCCTCCTCCTCCACCACCCCAACGTCCAGTGCTCCAACAAACTAAAGCACGCTGTCGAACCACTTCGGTCACGCGGCGTCCGAAAACACCCAAGCCAATCCAGGTACCGATGCTCTGCAAACCTATGGAGGCACCATCTCCCTTTGCAAACCAAGGCCGACACCTCGTCACGATACTTGTGGTTCGCGATCCTCGAACCGAAAAATCGTTTGGAGTCAACCTGAAAATACATACCGAATCAGCTCTTGTGGACCGGGAATGGATCGACGCACAACAGAAAAGCAAAGCGCGAAAGCCGAAGCCTGATGAAACAGGCTCTACGATAATCAATACAAAGCCTGAAGTGATGGGAGCGTCTGTACCAAAAAAATCGCTAGAAGTTGTACCAAAAACGCACCAGCCGCCATTGATTCACACGTCGGGACAATCAAAACAATTGACAGGCAAATTGCTGCCACCGAAAACTGACACAATTTTATCGTCGGCGGTCCATGCAAAGAGGGAACCGAAAGCAAATGGTGACGATCAGGATAAAACATTTATGGCCTCGATGTGTCACAACGCTGAAATCAAGACAGCAATAGCGCGAAATCACACTTTGATCCGCGCCGATAAGGAAAAGAAGGAACCTATTCAAACAACCTGCTCCGTAACTCCAACGAAGAACGAAATGCCTACCAATCTGAATAGCAATGCCAACATTGACTGTGGCAAATCTGACAGCAATGACATCAGAGCAGTCATAAAAAATTGCGTTGAGTTTTTGGTGAGTTCCGTTGAAAGTAGCCAGAAGGAGGCCGACAAACAAACCGTCAGTATGGACACTAGGAATATTGTACAGAAAAGAAAGAGACGCCGTAGAGTCAACTTCTCGGTCATGATGGTAACGGATGCAGAAAAACAAAACTCCCGTAGACCCGATGTAGACTCGAAGGAAAAGCTACGTTCGGGCGATATCGTTGTCACGATTCAGGGACACAAACTTGATGGAATGTCGTTTAGGGATGCGTGTGTAGTCTTTTCTAGAGAGGCCGAAAGTATGAACGACTCTCTCATACAAACGCGGGTCGTTGTGGCAAGAAAACCAGAAATGACTGCTCCTGTCAATACACTAAGTGCCGACACTTCCAATTCAGTGACGCTTAATCCTGTGGTCACGTCCTTGTCCAGTAGTACACCGTCCGCACCACTACCACCTCCAGAAAATACATCTATGGTATTTAGCCCCGAGGAACTAGCCACACTTTCCAATTGCTTTTTGAATATCCTGAACAGCTCAAAACGAATTCTTGGACAAGACATCCAAGACAGTTCGTGGCAGCTGCATTCCCTTATTTTCCGGATGGGTTCTGCACTGGAGGACACCGGGCTGACGCCGAGGGGAATTACCACTCTAACGAATAAATGGGGGGATCTGACGCGACTGATAGACTATGAGCTTGTAGAAAAAGGCAAGAATCATTGGACAAAGAAATTTCGACAGGAATTCGGAAACGAAAAATTACCCTTTTCTTCGGACGTAGAACGAAATGCTATGCGACACCTGCCACGTCCATTGAAAGGATGCCGATGCAAGAAAAAAGATCACGAGTACGTCTCAGATCCAAAATGTATTCTATATCGCGACCTCCAGCAACGTCTATCAAAAGAAGAATTGAAAGAGCTACGGCTGCACACGAAAAACAAGTTCATCCCCAAGAAGTCGAAGGACCTGAATGCAGTAGAATCTGCGTTTAAGAATAGGATGCTGAAACTCAAAAACGCAACTGAGAATGAGTCGATTGAAGCCCGTTTTGTTGACAAAATGGAAGAAATCCAAGTAAAGGAGCTTCATCAGGCGGTATTTGCTCCTAATCTCACCACTATTGTGCTTTCGACGATATTCGAGCTACAGAGAGAGTTTCATGTCTCTGTCGTAGAGGAAGACAAAGACGAAGACATGAATTATAATGCCAACGAAGAACAAGAAGACGACGTCCCCTTGGAGTGCTTGGGAAAGCGTGGATCTGATGTACAAAGCGCGGCCGATACTAGAAAACAACAAAAAGTGGACGGAGGCGGCCCGAACTTTTGCATGGAATACCTGGTACGAATGCTCAATTATGTGAGCAAAACCTGGGGACATTGTTATCGCGAACCAAACACGGACGAGTACGCTTGGAGGTGGGAGTTGTTTCATGCTGTTCACTCCGACCACGATCAGTGGGAGGCTCACGCAACGAACCCTAGGGTGCCGGATTCTTTCCCGTTTGAGAATGTTCGGTTCGGACTGAATTCTTCCAAGTCGACTGACAATAAATTGTCGTCATTTCCCAAAACCATTCGACAATTCGAAGACTCTATATTATCGAACGCGCCATTGGCTCTGGATGTTCCCAACAAGACGTTGGAGCAGTTTTCTATTGCTGTCCATTTGTTGTCACCTGCTCGTTCTGGTTTATACGATGAATTGATTGCACTGTTGAAGATGGGTATCATTCAGGTTTCAGCTTCGGGAATTCCCATCTTGACGGGAGATTGGTGGACCAAGATCGACATCGTTGTTTTGGATGACATGCTATGCTCTTGGTCCACAAAAGCCGACCCAGATTCGAGATACTGTGTCAACGAAGAACTTCGAGACACTCTGGAAGAACAATGGGTCAAATCCGACTATGGTTGGGCGTTGCTAGAAAATCCCAAGGAATTAATCTTTGACTTCACCGTGCTGGACGAGTGGCGAGAGACTTTTGAGGGTCGACTCGAAGAGAAAGCAAACCTTTCGGAGGGAATTGGGCTCTTCGGACTCTAATTCGATCGCTTGCGAGTTAGTACCTACTTACCACCGCTATACTTTAAGACTAGTCTTCAATATTTCAGAACAAAAAATCAATGATACTCTAATTGAACATCCTATTCCGGCTATCGCTGCTGCTCACACATAAGTTGCATTGGCAACCTCTAAAAATATGCTTCTAGAGAAAACTAAGCTTGAACTAAATTTTATTCTGAACGTAAGCGTGAGAAATCGACTTGTTATATCGTTGGTTTCTTTCATTTTCGTCACATCCTCATCCCTTTTCACGACCAAAAAAAACATTTCATACTTTCAGGAATTTATATTTAGAATTCATCTCCCATTAGGTCACCCATGCCCATGTCACCCATGTAGTCGTCGTCCTCAGGCATTTCGCTTGCTGCTGCTGCCCGCTTCGCCTCCAATTGTTCGTCGTACATCTTCTTCTCTCCCTCCTTCTTCTTGAAGAACGTTTTTTCAGCGTATTCCTTGGCCTCTTCGATGCTATCTGTGACAATGATATCGTCGAATAGAGTTCCGGTCTTCACTTGCCAGATTTCGAAACCAACGTGCGTGCATCCGTCTCTGCAAACCTTATACATGTCGTCGTTGTACTTGTAGTCAGGATTATCGATCATAGGGTGTTCCCATTTCCCTTTGTAGTCGGGATTATCGATCATCTTGGGCTTCCATTCTCCTTGGAAGTCAGGATTATCGATCATAGGTGGTTCCCATTCACCATCATCCTCGTCGTCCCAGTCTTCCGGCTTCTTGGCATCTGGGTCTACGATTTCTTCGGGTTGGTCGTCCCAATCGTCAGGCTTCTTGGAATCAGGATCAGGCATTTTTGCGTTGTCTACCCAGTCTGTGGGCTTGCTAGCGTCGGGATCCTTGATCTTCTTTTCGAGCAAAAAGTCAAATTCGTCGTCGAGGGCACCCTTTCTAACCGACTTGTTGTCGACGTGAACTTCGATGGTGTTGTCAGGGCTGACGATCAATGTGTAGAGGTGGGTCAAATCGTCGGTTTCTGTACCAACATCCTTCTTGATAAGGAGATTATCATCCTTTTCAAAGTCGTGCAAAATGGCGTGCGTCCTCTTGTTGCTTCCACATATGTCGGGGCCAAACATGACGGCATAAGGGGTATCTCCACCAAAGGATTTAGCATCGAAATTGTCTCCACCGGGAAGGAGTTTGATGTAGGCACCTCCGCAATCCAGGTTTTGTTCATGCTTTACAGAATATTGAATCACAAGGGGCTTGTCACCGCTAACAAATGGTTTGTCGAGCTTGGCAGAAAGACCATAAAATCGAGCATCTTCCGAAGTTTGGATGCCCTTGTCATCGGCATCACCGTAATATTCACCGGCGGTGTGCTTCCATGCACCCATTTCTCCTTTTGGTTTCCAGCTGGTTGGTACTGTCCATCGGCTGGACCAGCTCTATCGTTTTTGTTTTGAAGTTTAGTGGCGTCATTCGAGTTTTAAGAATCCGATCAGTCCATTTTTAACATCGCAAGTTTTCGAGATGCAATAATATATAGTTGCCGAAATTTCGTCATAAGGGAAGCGGAATTGAGAGAAAAGGTGAACAAGCGTGAGGAGTACTGCATAAGGATTGCAATCTTTGGAAGTTCATCGAGGTTCTTAGTGTTCTTCACGGAAAACCTCGCTGCTTACAGCGGAATCAACAACTCATTCTCTGACAGGCTAACCTTACATCATCGTTGAAGTTTTCGGTGATGAAAAACTCCGCGGAAGCAGAAGCGATGCATGTTGCAGCAGTGAGAGCAAGAGCTGAGAACTTCATGGTTGGCTTCTGTTTTTGTTTTCCTCTGGGGTTTGTAACCTTTCGGGTATGGCAGTATTAGCAAATGGTGGTGGAGCGAAATACGGTACCGTATGAAAATGACCTTTCCCACTACACTTAGGTAAGTGCTCGTACAGAACGAGAGTTCAGTAGGTGGTAAAAATCCGCTCCGCACCGCAGGGTTTTCGTTTCGGAACTGCACTCTACGAGTACTGTAGTACTCATACTGCCGTACCGGTGGAGGTACTGTAATGGATCCGAAGAAAAAACAGATGATCACAAAACAGTGAAAAAAAATCGTCCATGTACGAGGTACCGTACAACCGTACGGGGAGGCCGATACGGCAATTCTCGACTTTGATGATTTGAGGAGAGGTTTGTAACGTACGTACCGTATGCTACCAAACACAGATGGATTTTGGGTAGCTCGATCAAAAATTTGGAGTTTCGAAGAAACAATATTTCACGGCCGAGTGAAAAAGTTGGCGAAACAACGCGTGGCGAAAAATTCGGCGGTACAAAGGCAGGACCCTCCGGAACCAACGCGCGCGCGTCCCCCCTTTGTAATCAAACGTTGGGGGCATGATTTATTCTTCCAATGCAATATCCCACAATTTATAAAAGTGGGATATTTTTCACAAAAGATAACCCATGATTTAAAATGTGGGTTCCTGGGTTAAGAACCCACAAATAACCCATGAAATACTTAACCACAAATTAACAACCCCCCCCACGAATAACCCATAAACCTGCTGAGCCTCCTATTTTCAAAAATTAAAAACAAAACAACTAAAATACTTAACATCCTTGATTCTCCATCAATCCAGATGACTGTAAATTTGTGGGTTATTTGTGGATTATTTGTGGGTAATTTGATGGGTTATTGGTGGATTCCTGGGTTATTTCTTGGGTTATTTTTCAAATAAAATAACCCAGCACAGTTTAGAAACGTAGGTCATTCTTCCCATGTAATAACCCAGCACTATTCCAAAATGTGGGTTATTTTTCACCAAAAATAACCCACATTTTTCTAGGGGAGGAATTTGAAAAGAGGGATGTGCATGTGGGTACTGGAGGGCCCAGCATCTGCTGCTAAATAACTGTCTGAACCGATTGCACGTCTGCAATTTTGTGGTTGGCAGCTTGGAAGTAGGTGAAACTCAAAGAAACCTCCATCTAAGAGTTCATCATCCTCTGCAATCCACATGGCCTCTGCCACGTTCTGGGGATTATTGAAGTGATCTGTTGGTTTCATATCAATGGTTGATCCTAACCATTGGATGGTGCGTGTAGAATAGAAGAGATCTATCCCTGTCATCAGTAGAAAGTCCCTTCCTAGAATCATATCATAATTGCAAGGGGCTGAGAAGAGCCGTGCATTGATTCCTCTGGTGTATTTGCCATTACCAAACTCTGGGAGCTGAATGTTAGAAATGAAGACATACTTGGATGTGTCAAAGCTTCCCTGGGCTGTAGTCGTGACTGAGCTGAATCGGTCCTGGAAGGGGACTGTTCCTGGTGGAAGGCAACGCTCGTGAATGAGACACATTGTACTTCCACTATCCAGTAGGACTTTAAAGGTGTTCATCGTCGGTAGGCCTTGGATGGCTTTACATACTAGGATGACCACTGGTAGTACATCCTGCACATCCGGYGGTGTTTTCAGAGCTCTCAAGGTGACTGCTGTTGGATTCTTGAGAGCTTCATCATTATCAAGGCCATAAAGCTCAAGGCTATCTGTTGGTGATTGAGTGAATGGTGGTGGAGGCAATGCAAAGTAGGYCTCGCTTGAATGTCACCACTGTTGATTTGGGCCTTGTCCTTGTCCTTGTCCTTGGAATTGAATTGTTGAGCCCGGATTGCTGTTKGACTGTAGTGATACGTGGCTTGGAGGACCACTGGAGTTGGAGCCATGATAATTCTGAGTTTGGATCGACTGTGGTTTCATGTTTCCATGTTCATCCATATAATACAATCCTGGAGTGAACCTCTTACTGCTATTGCTTGCATTCGAATTTCCCTGGCTTCCTCCGTTGTTATTGCTCCGATTATAACCCTTTTTATTGAACCAACACTCGCCCCAAGGATGTTGTCCCTTATGTATTCTACAAGGCGTTGTATTGATTCTCTTCTGTCTCTCTTCTGGGGTCTCATTCTGTCTGTTTGCACTGTTGTTTCTATCACTGTTGTTATTACCTCTTCTCCTTTGTTTTCCATTATTCCTTCCTCGTTGTTTAGTATCTGTAGTGTCATCTGCTGGTCTTTTCCTCGAACGTTGCTGTTGTTCTTCATCTGCTATTCCTTTTTGTTCAGACATGAACTCCACAATTTCTTCAATCGTGTCTCTCAAAATGTTTCTGCCACACCTCTTGTAATCATTCTGCCAGGATTTGGGGAATGACTTGAAAAGGATCTGTTTGATCTCTCTTTCTGATAGGGGCTCGCAAATGCCATGAAGGATGTTGGCTCTGGCACAACATGTCTGCACCCTATCCGCGTGTGCTTCACAGGAGATTGAATGAGGCTTTCTCACAGCTTCCGATTTCAAATAATCAACAACATCGTCCCTGGCACTCTTGGATGAGGCATAGAACTTCCTGAAGGTAAGGAGGGCTATCTCCCATTGTGCTTTGCTATCTCTTGTCACTTGTGCTAATCTGTTGTTGTGCCACATGTTATTCCATTTCTGTCTGGGCCCATGCGCAAGGACCATTTGCCACTTGTTGTCTATTTCATCCTCTGCTATTTCCAAGTCTAGGATTGCGTCTTCAAAGTCTTCTTGTACATGGAACAGTTCTTGTAACCCATGCTCCCCTGAGAAGGTTGTGCAGGTCTTAGTTAGCTTTCTTGCCGGGTTTCTGAGATTTACTGTCAACAAGACTGTCTTTAACTGGGCTGGATCGAAGTTGTCTGTAAGTCTTAAACAGGATCGGTGTGGTGTTTGTTTAGGGGAGTTGTTGGTTGATCTCACCATGGTCGATGTGGTATTTTGGTTGTTTTTCTTAATGAATGATTAATTTCGATACACGAATCTCGTGCAAGTAGCATCGTTACTATCATCGGTTGCAGTACTACCTGCATCAATTGCCATACCACCTGCACTAGCGCCACCTGCTACTGCATTGCTTGCTGGTATATTGCTTACAAGGAGCTCCATCACATCAGTTATCATCTTCTTGCTGCTTTTTGATTTGCTTTAGAAAGAGTCAGGGGGGGATGGAAGTGAGTTAAAAGAAGCAAAACACCAACAAGCTGTAACAACAAAGAGATGACCCATCATCAGGTTGATTGTTGAAGCAAATGGAGGCACCAAGTGTTGCAACAATGGAGAGCGGACCGGTCAATGGATCCCCTCTTAGTGGGAGCAACAGAGGAGGCATGAGGCAAGCCAGTGGATTGCTCCCCCTTCTAATCCCTTAAGAGTGGAGACAACAGAGGTGCAAGGCAAGTTGATGGATCCCTTAAGAGTGGAGACAACGGAGTCACAAGGCAAGTCAGTGAATTGCTTCCCCCTCTTAGTGGAAGCAATGGAGGTGCAATACGCCGGCAAGTTGATAGATTCCCTCTTAGTGGGCACAAGGCAAGTTGATGAGTCACTTGAGGTGCAAAGAAGAAGGATTGAATAGCAAAGAAGCTGGTCTTAGTCACTTGAATGGAAAGGAGTGACAGGAAGGAGATGAAAAGAGGAAATCAGGAGGTGTAGTGAAATCAAGAAAGAAACTAGCATGTGAAAATAACACACTGGGGACCATTTTTGCACCATGGGCACAACACCTTTTTTCTCTTCGCATCCTCTCTCCAGCTCAAAATTGAAAGAAAGAACACATGAAAACTGCACGCCCTAGTATGTGCCCAAACAATATTAGGCACCTCTTGTGACCGACTGAGACTGCACAAGAACATTCTCGATAAGTATGATAAGAATATCATGATAAAGATCTCACTCTCAGCTTTCTATAGCCACTGGTCCCATAGTAGTTAAATGACCAGTAGAACCCTTTCAACCAGTAACAGGAAAATCATGTGCTAACATGGTCCCCTTAAACACATGATATTGCAAGTACAAAAGACACTTTGACTTGTAACAACCTTAATGACTGTATACTACTATAACAGTTCTTTAAAGTACAAAAAGAAGTATTCTAATCGCCCAAATATTGAGCTTATTTCAGTAGTAAAGGTGTTAGGGTACAATCATTCAGGGACGGAGGAAGTACCTGATATCGTATGGTTCGTATCTTATAACTGTATGCCAATCAACAAACCTACTGAATCCTTAATCCTGTTCCTCTACCGGTATGTCTGTAATTATGAAAAAGTTGTGACACTATTCAATCCATCATTGTTCAGTACGGGCAATAACAATTATCCCCACTCATAACGTATTTCTTGAGAAAGAAACAAAAAGATTCTAATCTTCTTTAGGAACTACTCTTCCTAATCCTTTTCGTCTCGTCGCTTGTCTACCCAAGTCGTCCTCGCTTCGATTTTCATCGAGCCCATACCGACGGGCTATGTTCCCGAGCCAACTTAAGGTTTCAAGAACGATTTTTCCCGTAGAAGAAACCGCCAGCAACGGGCGCGCAAAGTCTTCTCCGGCCGCCTCGGCCGCACCGCTTCTATCTGACACAAAGCCGTGCAGTGCCTGATTTTGTGCTCCGCCGAGATTGATCTTGCCTCCTCCACTGTTGCCTCTGATCTTGCGGTCGAAACGGCTGTCTGGCTCTGATGTCGTGTTCTCGACCCATCCATCCACAAGTTGACAATGCTGAAGCTGTCCGCTTTCGTCTCGGTCTCGTGATGTGAAGGCTTGTGTCTCTATTTTTATCCGATTCGTCTCAATATCAAAGTCACCTTTGTCAGCTTTTGGAAGTGCCTTGGAATTTACAGACGTCGCATTATCTTCAATTTCCTGGATCATGTGCGTCACTTCGTCCGCGAGGCTACCATCTTCGTTGTCTTCTAGCAATAAAATTTCTGTGTCTACATGTGCGTCGGAAGGAGAAGAAAAGAGTCGGACATCCGACTCCACCTTTCGATCTACTGTTACGTGCACATTGCCGCCTTTGGCGTCAATGAGGCTCACGCTATCGGGAGCAATACTGTCAAAGTGAACGTGGCACGAAGTCCATTCATCATCGGCTGACTTGCTATCACTATCGGATCTTGAGACAAACACCTCACAACTCCCATTCACGCCACCTAAATCAACCATGGGTCTCGCTTCCCCAGTTAATTCGTTGTCGATGTTGGGTTTAGGGGCTGAAACTTGGACGTGGACATGGCCGTGATGAGATTTGATACGAACTGCTTGACGCTGTCCATGATTCCGGTTATCACTGGCAGCAGACTGTTGAACATTAACAGTTGCATCTCCTACGAGATAGAGGGAGCCAATGTCACATATAGCTCCGGAGTCGTCCTCATCAAGTAGCGATTCTCTGAACGTCGTCAAATTTGGAACATCACCCTCATCTTTCTCACCTACTCCTCCTGCTTGGATCTCCATCGTGTTTGCATGAATGCGTTTGGCTCTGATCCTATCTACCGACGATCTATCCACTGCAAGTCGGAGAGATTGACTTTCCAAAACGTCTGAAACGAAAATAGTCGATGGGGTTATCGTGCTGTTACCCTCTTCTCCTTTCTGACCCTGGGATTGGATAGACGTTGTATCTAACTCGATGTGGTGTCCTCTGAGCTTTTTCACCGAAATATTACCTTGTGCTGTTTTGAGTCGAACGTCCCCCTCAATTTTATTTTCCACAAAAATAGAGCCCCCTTCTGTGAGGTTACAGTCAATATTTATCTTATCTGGGACATCTATCGTTAGCAAATTTCCTACCTCTTCCTCTGAAGTTTCTATTGTTGTCGGGGGTGGCAATGATAGTGATGTCACTATGGGTTCGCTGCCGATATGTCCGTTTGATACTGAATCTTCCACTTCAATTTTCTCCAGTATATCTATCGATAAATGGGGATCTTCGCGACCGAGTGAAGTCATCTTGTCTTCATTTCTAGATAGAAATATACGAGCGGACTGGTTGTCGTTGTCTATTGTAGCACTGCCACTTGGAAGGTGACAATGCTGGAGAAAGGAAAGCTCCCCGTCATCTCTCCAATGCGATCGAATACGGAGATCAGTTTTCAATTTTGATCGAATTGAAATCGTCGAGCCCTGTTTCAAATACGGTAGGGGCCGAGCCAAGAGCCAACGCTGGAGAAGTCGCTTTGCACCGCTGCCCATTATATGGGACTGTGCTTCATGAATCGATTAAGAGTGAATGCGGGTTCGAGTGTCACGTCAAACGAACGATATTTGATGCCAAACTATGATACTTTGTTTCGTCAAGTTCTGTACATAATATGGCCTAAGGTCAAGCTCTAAACGATCAACTGATGGGATTTAAAGAAGTTCTCAAATTTTCATAATCTTCCAGTTATTTTTATTACGGTATGTACGTACGGTATGCTGACTTCGATTCGATGTTGCTTCGCATGTGATGATGTGTTTGGAGGTGCTTCGGGAAAATAACATCTCGCAGAACTACGCAAGTAGAGTACAGTACAAACGAAAAATAACTAAAATATAAAATATCAAATCAACCCCGTAGGATATGGTACATAAAATACGTAAATGCACGAAGCCAGCGGCCGACAAGACTGATCAGATTTTAGTTCGAGTACGTACGAGTGGTACTGTACCGAGAAATTGATAAGTTCGTACGTACGAGGTTGTGGTGTCTTATGTAGGGTCCGAATTAAAACAGGTTATGAGTCATAATTTCGCGATTCGGTTTTGGTAATCAGCTAAAGCTTTGCTTGCTTGTTAATGCTAGCAAAGCACCAATCAGAGCTCAAAAATCCATTAGTCAAAAAGGATTTCCTTTCTTCTTGCCATACATGTGCATATTGCTGTTTTTTTTGCCAGAGAAGCTTTTTGGGCTTGTTGATTTCTCTGCACACCAAGAATGCAAAATTCCACGACATTAAAACAACGGAAAGGGAGGACCTGTCACGCCCTTGGCAAGACCCTTCACCTCCATAACCCACATGATGTGTTTGTACAGTGTATTCATTGTTTTAAGAGGAAGGGGATCCAGCAGTTGCGTATCAATTGACCAAGTGCCTTACAACAAGAAAGAGGAGTAGATTTAAGCAACAGCATCCGCGTCCATATCTAACATCCCATCCTTCTTATCCAGAGTCTGTATTCAGCGTCCTTATCCAGTGTCTGTATCCAGTGTCTGTATCCAGCTTCTGTATCCAGCATCTGTATCCAGCTTCCATATCCAGTGTCTGTATCCAGTGTCTGTATCCAGTGTCTGTATCCAGTGTCTGTATCCAGCTTCTGTATCCAGCATCTGTATCCAGCTTCCATATCCAGCATCCATATCCATTGTCCGTATCCAGTGTCCGTATCCAGCAGTGTCCGTAGTATCCAGTGTCCGTATCCAGTGTCCGTATCCAGCGTCCGTATCCAGCATCCGTATCCAGCGTCCGTATTCAACACAGTGTCTATATCCAGCATCCATATCTAGTGTCCATATCAGTTTTGTATCTAGCATCTATATCTAGTGTCCTTATCCAGTGTCCTTATCCAGCAGCAACTCCTGTTAGCATGCAATGCTTCCACTTCCTCTGTGCAGTATTTTGATACAATACATTTTTGGATGTAAAATAGTTTCTTTTTTATTTTGAGACAGGTTGACCACATGTGTGCTATACATTGCGCTGTTCTTAATTTTGTAGACCTAGTACTATGTAGAAATAGTACTCCTAAATGCCTGTCCTCACCCAATACATACAACCACAACCTTCCTTGTTGCACTCCTACTTGTACTCACACAAAAATTATTCACAAGAAGACAATTTCCAATTGGCTTGCCAATGCAAATAGTAGTTGCTATGGTGCAGAAACTAAGTTAGGAGTGCCAGCAAGTTGGAAAGTAATGCTCTGAAAGGAATTTAGAAGCTACTAATCAGCAACAATGAAAGCACTGTGACTGTCTGTTGTTTCTTACATTCATTGATTTGTTGTGTATGTTGAGTACATTGTTGCTGGTGTTGTAGATATTAATATTCTTTGTTGGGGATTGAGTCAAATGTATTATTTCCTTGTGACTTGTTTGAGTTTGATGGGTGCATATCTGCATTGTATTTTCTTGTTGTTTTGTGGATCTTTGGTTTTGCATTTGAGGCCTTAATTACAACAATGTGATCTGGCAATCTGTCATCTATATTTTTTGAGTGTTCACTTCTTGTCTACATTGCTGTATGTTGCATGATAACCAATATCTTCTGAGGGTTTGTCCCAAGGTTATACAATTCTTGAATTGATAATTTGAAGGTGCTCTTCTTTCAAGTCATTTGTTCTTAAACCATCAAGAAGCTCCCCTCAAATCATATCATGTTTCAACCTGTGTTTTGTTTGAAGGTCAAGAATTGTGTTGTTTTTGCTCTCTCAAAAATAGAAATCTTTTTGACAAGAGGGAGGAGTCTCCTCCCACGGGTTTGAGTTGGTTGAAGTCACCTGCAACAAAGACAATGGAAAGATTGCCATAGTAGAAATTACTATATGACAGCTTGTCATACAATTAGATCAGATACTAGTTCAATGTACCCAACTATTTGATGCTAGCAAATGACATTATGTCAACAATGAGTATGCACATCTGTGTAACATTAGGAGATCTATTACAACTCAAATGGCAAGCTTTATATAAGTAAAAAGCAATGTTACTAGTAGTACTGACATGAAGTAGAAAAGCAAAGTCCTCAAGTTTGTAGGTTAGAAGTCTTTCAGTATTGCTACTATCTGCTGCCTTGATATGAATGTCCATTTTTGTTGACAAGAACAAGAGTCTTCTCCCACTTGTTTCAGTTGAATAAATTACTTTTGATTTTCCAGTACCCTGATAGAATTATATGAACTGCTCTTTATTCTTGTTAATGGTTGCCTTGAGATCTTGTATGTGGTACGACTTGTAGCAGCTATTTCCAATCTTCCCTTGGAATCCCTCCTTTTCTGTAATCAATTACTAGATAAATGAACAGATTTTTTAGTGTCAAAACACAAGCAGCAACAATCTAGCCATGTATCAATTTCCCCCATGCCTGATATTTTCCAAGAGTCTAGTGCATCATGATATGAAGTTGTTTACTACTATTGCCAGACTAAGATCAGTTGCCATCCTCTTCTTGTGGACCACATTTCCCAGCATTGGATCTCAGATCTAGATCCCAATTCAGGTTCATATTCCCTTTGGTTTTAGGAGCCTCCTTGTTTGAAAACTTTATGTGTTCATGTATTGCTATGTTGGAGCAAAGCAATAATGCTTTCCATGGTCTTTCTGTTCTCCAGAAGCAATCCTTACATCACCAAGCATCATTAAGCAATAAAGGAGAGAATCACATACTTTTTGTCTCCATCCCAATTTGTCCAACTGAAGCCACATTGTTCCCCCCTGACCCTGAAGATTTGTTCCTATGCCATGTCCACCAAAATTGCCTCTCCTCATTTTACTATCTAGAGGAGTATTCAAGATGCTGCTACTATTTCTACTACTACCAATGTCAATCTGATTGCTCTGTACTTCTTCCCTCTATTGCTGACTACTAATTGCAAGAAACAACCACTGGAGAACATCACTCAAGATTTGTTGCTGGTCTCTGATACATACTCCAAAAAGGGACAAGAACAATACTTTAAATAATTCCAGCATACCTTAGTATCTGTCCTACCCACTCATCCTTCTCCAGGAGTCCTATCTCTCACAGCAGCAATTAGTTGCAGAAGCAACAACCTTCCCCCAGCAGCAAGAAGTGATGGTTATTGCTTCCATAATGCCTCTGCTAGTTCACACCATTAAAGATTTGGAGTCATTCTTTAATATAATAACATGAACATTATGAAATGCTCATGTGTCATTTGGCTAGTCTTGGGGGTTTTCTCCACTTCTGCTTTGATGTTTGTACGGCTTGTGACAGAATTTATCAAGTCTTGGGAATTTGATTCTCTTTCATAGTAATGTAAAAATAACCAGTTTGATTTTGGAATGACCAATAATGACAATGGCTCCTAATTGGTACAGTAGTAGTTGCCCCATTTGCTTGGGGCTAAATGTTGTTGTAGAGGCTGTCAATGTTGGCATTGGTGACATTGGCATTGGCATTGCTAGTACGCTCCACCTTGCTCTCCCCCAACGTCTTGAAGAGGAGCTGGTGCTATTTTTTTAGGACTCAACCTTGTCCAACAAGGCTTGGGATGGTGCATCATGCATGTCATGATACTAACCAGAACTGTAGCTGAAGATGTTCATATTTTTTGTTGTTGGGTCCTTTTCCTCAATGTCTTGATGACTGATCACAATAATTATTGAATTTTTGAGTCTTGGGAGGATTCATTTGTGTAGTAGCATCTGATGTACTACTACTACTACTACTACTACTACTACTACTACTACTACTACTACTACTACTACTACTACTACTACTACTACTACTACTACTACTACTACTACCTCTGTTAAGAAGTTTACAGCAAATATAGCTCCTGGTACTGACACTACTAGTAGCAAAATACCACCCTTGTCTCTACTACTGCTACTACTGCTACTGCTACTACTAGCTACCCATAACCTTGAGGATAGAAGATATCTGCATACTATAAGTATATCCTTTCGATTGCTCCTGTCTCCATACCACACCCAGCTCGTCTAGGTCACGTAGAGCACTTTTGCCACAGTTTCAAAAAGTCAGTAGCTCAGTAGATAATCGGTTTAGCTGCTATTAAAGAAGGCATTGATCTTTGCCTGTTGCTTCAAAGGCGTATCTTTTAAGAACGCAGGAGTGAATTCCCCCTTTTGTAAACGAGCGTAGGTTCGCATGGTCTCAGCCATGTGACTAGCCCATGGGTAGCAAATGTTTTGCATAATAAGCACACGAGTCCTGCTTGAGATCATTTGAGTAAGACTTTCGATTCGCTCAAAGGCATCGTAGAGAGCATGCTTTTCCAAAATGTTGTTGTCTGTAACACTTTCTGAAGAATCAGCAGTGTCGGATTTGTTTGAAGGCTGAACATTTTCATTTTCTTCGAAATCCTCCTTCTTTGTCTCATTCAGGCATCTCTCTTTAATTGTCTTCTGCAAATCTACAACAGCGAGTCGAAAGCAAACTGTACATATATGCATCGTGGCGAAGCACTTGCTCGCTTCACGTTCAGGAAAGAAAATGGCAAGCTTGGCCAAGCCTATACAAGCTAAAGCTAAGGCTTTCCAAGATTGAGAAGAGCGAGCCTCATCTGGTATTCCCAATTTAACCATTTCTTCTTTCACTCGACTTGGCACCCAGTTGTCAGTGTTAGATGTTTCAGTCTTCGTTTCCTTGCGGTTTTTGTTCCGATCATCATGTTTATAGCTGAAAGCACGATTCAGGATGCTCTCGCACAAACACAACTGGAAATCTTTCAAGGATGAAATGGTTCTATGTTGGCCGTCGTTTTCATCTTCAAATGATATGTCCATATTTTCGAGCATGGCAACAGTCCGTGCCAACGAAAGCCACGCTTGATCATCGTCGTATGCATCCGTCCCCTTTAGACCGCGTCCTAATTTCGTCGACCAGGTGGTGCAGATTCGTTCTGAAAGTCTTTCAAGACACTGCTCGTAAGAGACATTGACGCCATCTTTGCTACAATTACTCTGCTCATCGTGCGCTTCTGCTTCCCAACGCACTCTATCCAGAAGACATTGTATAATGGTTTGGATAGATCTGTTGCAGTCATCTTTCGCACTGCCGTTGAAATGATATGACACATGAAAGATATTCGTATTAGATTCAATTACGAACAATATCTCAGAACAAATCTGCTTTTGACTTGAATGTCCGCGAGATCTCGCACTCGGTACGTACCTATCACTTGATGCGAACGCTGGGTCCAATCCAACCCACAAGACAGCCACAATAGTGTTGCAAATATCTCTTTGGAAGCCCTCACGATCATTCTTGTCGTAGCAAAAATCCACTAGAAATACATTGTTCTCGATCATGCTATTATAATTCTGTTGTCGAAGGGCTAGAGCCCATAATTCCAGAAAGTGTGACAGGGCATCGCGATCATTCACAAGACGGATCGAACCTTGGTTATTTTTACCAACTAACCCGGTAGCCGGCGAAGTCGACGGCGACGACGAAGGTCGGACCTCAGATACAGCATTACCAATCCGGTTATCCGCATTCTCATTCTTCCCCTTATTTTCTCTCCTCGTCTCCAACGGTAAAGTCGATCCAAACCATTGGCATAGCTGATCAGACAAGGCCGAAAGCGAAAGTAAGTAAACTTCCTTATTTTCTTCTTGCTGCAGGGGAAATCCCAAACCGTGAGACCAAAGATTAGAAAGGGTTCGATAACAGCCAAGTTTGGCGTCACTCCAAATTCTTAGCGATGCTTCTGAATCTGTCGTCCGGCTAGAACTGTTTTCCTTTTCCGCAACCTTTTTAGTTCTCCCCGTACTCGATTGCTTCGTCATTTTTGTTTCTCTATTCATCTGATTGTTTTTGCTGCTGCTGCTACTGTTGCCGCTGTTGCCGATCGAACATCCACGGGCCATCGGACCACAAGCCAGCGACATCAGCCATCTCAATATATCGACGGGGATGCGCTTGACCCGATCGGCATTTTCTTGCTTGCACATCAGCTGTTCTTTGAGATACATACGAAACAAGTTTTGCGATTTGGTTACTCGAGATTGCAATAGCTCCTCGCGGAGAGACGTAAATTGAGATGTGATTTGCTGCTGCTGGTTTATCAAGAGAAGGGTCCGGAAATCGGTGAGGGCCTCATCGAAGCTCGACCATGCCGTAGTGCATGCCGTAGTAGCACAACGAGACTTTTTGTTGCCCGGGCCAAGTGATGAGCTTATGTCCATAACATTGGATAACTGCAGAGTCCTTCGCGATCCCAAACACAGAGTTTCCTTGGTATCGACTGGCTGTAGGTTTCCGTAATAGCTCTCTTGATGATCTTCCTGGGAATCACTCTTTTCGTTACCAGGTTTGTCACCATCGCTTTCACTATGGGTATCTGCAGCAGCCTGTTTCTTTTCAAGATCATTGTCTCGTAGGAGATCGCTGTTTCGTCGGTGGATTTCGTCCATGCGGCTCTCTCGTTGTAGCTTTATCCTGCCGTCGTCGAACAAAGCGTTCATCTGGGCCATGCGCTTTTTCTTTTTGGCTTCGGCATCTCTGGCACTTCTTCGTATCGAAGATCTGCTGGCGGAAAAGGCATCGGCGAACAGCTCGTCGTCATCGCTGTCATCACTATCGCTCAGATCACGAGAGGGGCGCTTCTTCCTTGCCGATGCTCTACTGCTAGACGATGGCATGATCGAATCGGAGCGTGGTATTGAATTGTCGATAAAGCGATCCTGTTGAATTGGGACTCTGACAATAGCATGAATTTTTGGACTTGTGCACACGATCAACAATCATTGAAACCCTACCGGTACTGGTTCCAGGAACTGAAGTACAGTACTGTACGGTACAGAAAAAAATGCTGCAAATGGAGCTAAGAATCGTCGTACGGTACTCGTACTTGTAACAGTTACTGTACGGTACCATGCGGTACCTAAGATAATGTTTCAGTTCCGTACAAACTCGTTCTTCGCGCCAAAAACTACCGTATGAAGAACAAAGAGTCAAAATTATTGGTGATTCACAAGGCGGGACTGATGCTTCCCCTGTGTCAAAAATTAGAAGTCGAAGCGAGATTGATTCAAGAACTAATTTTGTACTTCTAATAAATTCTAATAAATTGAGTCGTCTTAGTCGAAGATTAATGAAATACCTCTTACCACTTTCTACTCCTTACTTGATTACGCGTCTGTTCGTCTCTCGTTTTACGTTGGATGGTAGACTAACGAAACGAGCAACCCTTCTGCGAGGAGTTAAAAAGCTTTATCGTTAGCAACCAACTTTTGAAGCTTACACCACGACGATAATAATAGACGAGGTAGGTGCTGCCAACCATGACGACGTACACGGAGACTGAAAAGCGAAACCTAATTCAAATGATGAGACATCCGTTCACAATACATTAGTTTCGTGACAGAAGTGTTTTGTTCGTGCCGTGCAGCTGAACCGATTGTAGTGCGACAGCCATAAATCATCTTTTGCCCTCGTTCCGCTAACAAGAATCGTTTGCATTCGTCCCTTTCTGAACTGACAGCCAATCGTAGTACAAATTATTATTCAAAATGAGTGAGAAAGTTATTCGTGGACGTGCCAATGCCTCTGGTATCAAGCACAAGGTTTCGGCCGGTCTCCCAACCGCTGCCGTTGTGAACTGTGCCGATAACTCCGGTGCCAAGAACCTTCACATCATCGCTGTTTGCAACATCGGTGGACGATTGAACAGACTTCCAAAGGCCTCCTCTGGAGACATGGTTATGTGCTCAGTAAAGAAGGGAAAGCCAGAGCTCCGTAAGAAGGTCATGCCTGGAATTATTGTACGACAACGCAAATCCTTCCGCAGAAAGGAAGGTGTCTTTATTCACTTTGAGGATAGTGCCGGTGTTATTGTCAACAACAAGGGAGAAATGAAAGGATCCGCTGTCTCCGGACCCGTTGCTAAGGAATGTGCCGAACTTTGGCCGCGTATCGCATCCAACGCTGGATCAATTCTGTAAACAAAGAATGAATCATATTAAACATTAACATACCCACCCTATCCCCCGATTACGTCTGAATTTTGATCCGATGGTATCGCGAGAAACGAACGTTTTTGACTTGTCTCTCCAGCATCCTTTGGCCATATTTTTGTCGAGCTGCTGCCTTGTAGGGAGGTGACCAGGGTACATCGTGATAGTCGGAAAAGTACTGGATTTGGGACGACACATGCAGTGCACATTCCATTTAATATTACGTTGTTTCAAACGATCATGACTCGTTTCGCTATCTTCCTCTTTGCTCAGTAGTAGCTAGTACACAGAGTTAGCATTCAAGCAAGAACTCCTCTACTACAATGACTAGCAGTAGTTGTTCCAGTCTAACCTACAATTACTAGTAACACCACTGGATTTCTTCCTCCTCCTCTTAACTGTTTCTAGTGCTCTTGTTTCAAGTCCAAGGGCAGTGAGGAACAAGAAGGACCAGCAGCACCTTAAAGAACCATACTAAGAACAAGAACAATAAGAATCACCAGCAAGAAGCAGCAAGAATAAGAACAAGTACTAATAGAAGTACTACGGATATCATAACAAATGATCGCCACACTAAGAAATTGGTTCCCATCGTTATTTTAATGATGCCATCCTTAGCCCAGTAGAACACAGTACAAAATGTACTGAGGTAGTTTGCAACTATTCTGGTGACGGAGAACCAATCCTGCTTCTTTCTCAGAAGGCAAAACATGCTGAAAATTTCAGGGAGCAACACTCAGTAGAGCTCTGTAGAATTTGTAATGAAAAAATTAAGGATGGCATCATTAAAATAACAATGGGAACCAATTTCTTAGTGTGGCGATCATTTGTTATGATATCCGTAGTAACATGATTTTGTTGTTTGTTTGTTGTTTGTTGTTTGTTGTTTGTTTGTTGTTTGTTGTTTGTTGTTTGTTGTTTGTTGTTTGTTGTTTGTTGTTTGTTGTTTGTTGTTTGTTGTTTGTTGTTTGTTGTTTGTTGTTT